TACGGTATGTGAGGTACTTTAATGAGACTCAGGGAGAATTTAATTATGTTAATAGTATGTCAAAATAGATAGAATTGGGTCAATACTACCCCTATCTCTCATATACCTAACATAATATTCTCAAACTTCCGGTTGGCCTTATGTCATATACATATATCAGTCAATATGTAAGATATCTTAGTAAAATTAACTGATTAATATTTGATATACTATAGTTCAACATATAATATTGAATATACTATATTTTAATGCCGCAAAAATGTGAATTTAGTCTACGAATTACCCCAACTCCCAAATACCACATATGTATATTGATTTCCGTTATTTTATCAAACCTTATGCCGAACATGACGTTCAATGTATGAGTTATACTTTCTGCTCAACGCAAAACGAGACTTTATCCATAACTCGACAAGGACATGACATGGCCATACTTTTTTTTGCTTAGGTGGGCAGGACTGTTATATGTTTACATGTCAAATTTGAGCGCAATCTGTCACATAGTTTTTTTTTTAAGGCACTATAAACAAGTCAACCTCGAGTGTGTTTTTCGAATTTTACTATGGAAATTAACGTTGAGCAAAAAGTGTTTGTTTAAAATTTTGTTATTCCAATGAAATAAGTGCGACGGTTGCAATGAAAATGTTGCAGAAGGCATATGGGGAGTCTTGCCTATCACGTGCACGTATTTTTTATTGGTATAAGTCGTTCAAGGACGGCCGTACATCGCTGGAGAACTTGCCCCATGATCGTCGTCCAGCAACATCAATAAACGAAGAAAACGTCGAAAAAGTAAAGAAAATTGTGTTGGAAAATCGTCGTGTGACTGAAAGAGAGATAGCTCAACATATCAAATGGATCCGCTCATAGCATTATTCACGATGTTTTGGGCATGAGACGTGTGTCTGCTCGACTTGTTCCAAAATCCAGCTCATACGTCTCGTCTTGTACGCGATTATTTGACCAAAAACAACGTAAATATTGTTCCGCAAGCACCGTATTCACCCGATATGGCACCGTGTGACTTTTTTATTTTCCCTAAACTCAAATTGCCGCTTCGTGGAAAGCATTTTCAGTCGATTGAAGTCATAAAAGAGAATTCGAAAAAGGAACTGAAAGCCATACCTAAAGCGGCCTACCAGAAGTGTTAGGAAGATTGGAAAAAAAGGTGGCATATGTGTATCGCCTCTAATGGTGACTATTTTGAAGGGGATAAAATAAATATTGAAGAATAATTAACCGTTTTTCTTGTTTGAGCCAGTCTCGTTTATATTTGAGCAGAAGGTATATTTATAAAATTGCTTGAAAATATGATCTCAAGTATACCTCAGCAATGTCAAAATTCACTCAATCCATCTCTTTCTCTGACCCCAATATAACCTGTATAATAATTTCCGATCTTCCACCTGACAAAACGTGTGATACTTTAACAAAATTAAATGCACAAATTTGAAAATGAATTTGATACATTTTTAGCTGACGGAAAGTAAAATATAGTAATAAAACTAAGTGAGTCTATGACCTATAATACAATTCAATAAAATGCCAAATTTGATTGTAATCCATTTGCAATTTCATTTAATAATGAATGTTGAATTGTTTCGCTACATTTTACATCTGAAAGTATTTTCCCTGCTTTGATCCTGGCAAGTTGCAAGAGTATAAAATGTTCGGTTACACCCGAACTTTGCCCTTTTTTACTTGTTTAATTCAAAAGATTATTTGTAACTACAAAAATTATGATTTTTTGGTAATATGCAAATGTAAGTCGCATCGTATGCGCAAATGTATGCGCATCGATAATTCATTTAAGAACAAAGAAGAAAGTATGAACTGCGATGTGGTCTGTTAATGTCAATTCTGTTTTTGTTGACCTGCAGGTATTTTTGCAATTAGAGATGCTTCGATTAAGTAGGTACTTCTATGTTAAAGGACTCTTTCCAGTTTGTTTCTGAAATAAACGAAGTTATACCATAGCCATCGCCTTTAAACTGTAGTCATCTTACAGGAGAGTGGATTCGACAAAGAACAAATCTCCTCTGTTATTAAAGGTTATTCATACAACTGCAGCAACTTCAAATCACGAATAAATTTCTAAAATCGCAAATGTTCATTGTTTTTCACTAAAGTATAAAATAAAAGTTAACTTCTAATTCCTACAGAAGTTCTTGCCTATTATAGCTTAATATACTTCGGTAGTTTAAAAGCGTACATAACATCAAAATGTTTACAAAGAGGCTATCCATTAAGGTTTTTTTCTAATAAATTAACTATTTGAATGGGTAATTTTTATACTCTCTCAACATGTTGCTACAAAGTAAAATAGTTTTGTTCACCTAACGGTTGTTTGCAACACCTAAAACTAATCGAGATAGATTAAAAGTTATGTATGTATATATAAATGATGATAAATGAGGTCAGGATATTGAGACGAGTTGAATGCCGAGTGACTCTCTGTCCGTCGGCCCGTCCGTGCAAGCGTTAACTTGTGTAAAAGTTGAGATAAGTTGATGAAACTTGTACACGTATTTCTTGGAACCCAATTGGTATTGCAGTTGGGCGGTATCGGACTATTGACAAAATGCCCATATTACCATAAGTTAAAAAACCGTAATTTCATACAAGGTATCGCAGTGGAAAGGTGCGTTTGTGGGTTGATGAGCATATCTCACAAGCCACTGGAGCTAATTCAACCAAACTTGCAGAAAAGAAGTCATGTGGCCATTTCTTTATGTACTGTAAAAATGAGTTAAATATTTTTTTTTACACATCGAGTTTTGCCAACGCCTGAAAATATTTCCCTACCTTTGCGCTTTGTGAAATGCGACATAGCCCTTTCGTACTAGATTTGTTTTAATTTTTGAATTTCAATGAGAACATATGTTCACTTTTGTTTAGCAGCTCCAGAAATGTTTATAATTTAAGAATCATGATTATATAGCATTCTACTCTCAGTCAAGTTTCACCGTTTACCTCTAGATGAGACTAGGTTACTATAGAATACCATACATTTTCGCGCATTTAGTTTGGAGAGTGGTGAATCGAATATGCTACTAGCGAAAATAAATTAGTCTGTCAAGGTAAAAGAAAAATAAGTAACTAGTACAAATAATTTCATCCAGATAGCAGAACTCAAATATACCAGGAAGAAGTGAATTAATGAAGTTATAATATTATATATGTCCATCTATTGATCACTGTCTAAAGTTGAGTTTTATATTAGAAATGTTAAATTTTAATTATGCTTTGTAATTTCGTAAAATTTTAATTACGTTTGATGGTGCAAATTTACTCCTACACCCATATACTAATATTTTGATTTCTTCTTGAAAGAAGATTTCGGAAGTGAAAGTCATAGAACTCTTACTGTTTCAAACTAAAAGTTTAGTTATTAAAATTATATTAATTTGTAAAACTTTATTCAATCACGTTCTTGTCAACTGTGTTTTCATGTCTTTCAGATCCACACACTGTAATTGATGTGCTTGATATTCCAGTAAATGCCGTAGCAACAGCGTTAAAAGACTTTTTTTCCAAGCGATTGCCTCCTTTGTTTAGTAAAGATATTATCAAGGAACTTGAAGATATTGCAGGTAATATGTATTGACGTATTCTTTATTTGTAGAGTTTAACAAATTTACTTTTACTTTTCATTAAAAAGGTTCTCGAGGCATTGGTTCATCCAAAATTAATGTGGAAGTAAAAACGGATAGGAGTTGCCGTTTGATATTATTGAAGACTTTATTACAGAAATTACCGCCCATGAATTTTATGATCCTGAAGTACATATTCGAGCACTTCGTTCAGTAAGTATAAAAGTATCCAATCAAATTGAATTACAGAAGGTAATGTTGGTTAATTATTATAGTGTATCCGAGAATTCAAAACTAAATAGTATGGATAGCAAAAATTTGGCAATTTGCTGGTGGCCAACACTGATTCCTATTGACTTTACGGATATGAGCCATTTTGAGCAATTGCGGCCATATTTAGAAGATATTGTGCAGACGATGATTGACCAGTTTCCCTATTTGTTTTGCGGAAAAGATGCTTTTGTTATGGTTTAAATACTCATATATTCCAGCGTAAAAGCTTAATTTTAGATGTTATTATGTGGAAGAATATAAACTGTGTTTTAATGGATTTGTTGTGTGAAATGATGTTTAATTAAGAATATTCGAATATGCGTCTAAAATAATAATTTATATTATGTGTTAAATTATATTTAAGCTATAAATGTTTTAAATGTCTTGTATGTATGTTTAACGAGTTGTGTAGTGATATCTATGCCATGTGTATGTATGCTTATATATATATATTTTTTTTTTTAATTTGGGTGTATTATTATTGTAGATGTTGTTCTTATAAATTGAGCTGAAAAAACTTTATCAGAGGAACACTTCTGAAATGGAAAATTAATGTGAATGAAAAAAACAGAATACATTCATTTACATACCTAAAAAAATAGATAAAAAGTAAAAATAATGATAATGATAATGAAAAGATTTGTATAAATGTGTGTCTATTTCATGATATACCTTATAAAAGTATGCATTCGTAATCAATCAGCGATTTGGTGTAATTATATTTTTTAAAATTATAATATTTACGGAATTCCATACGGATATACGTCATAATCCAAATGCACAAATATTATAAAAACAAATAAAATAATTCCAAACAAACTCGATGCTTATTTTCAGTGGTTAAATTGCGGATATAATTTAAAAAGGTAAGAAGAAAGCAAAAAAAAGTTAGAGCTGAAGACTCCTTCATTTCATTTATGATTTAAGAACAAATTATACAAAAAATACAAGTAAATGCAAGCCAAATTTCACATGCCACTCCCCTGGTGCGTCAAGTGGATTATTGCGATCTTTTATTATCTTCCTTTTAATTTTTATACCCTGAACAGGGTATATTAAGTTTGCACGAAATTTATAACACCAAGATGGAAACGTCAGAGACCCTATAAAATATATACATGTAGGAACAATACGGTAGCTCGACAAAGACTATTGGCACTACTGACTGAACGAAGCGTCCATCATAGGATAGTAACGGTCGATACTTATAGTTTTAAAGGAGAAGCATTGTAACCGCGAAAGCGAGCGGACGTGTGTGTTCGCTATTATATTGAATAAAATCCTACAAATTTGGGGGCTCAACCGGGATGAAAAGAAAAGTGTCTACACAAAACATTTGAGCAAGCAGTGGAAAATTTAATAAACAACAAAAAATAATAAAAGTGTTCATACTCGCGCGCGCCGCTGTTCTTTCTATCGATCGTAAACGTCGACAGAGTTGTGAGTGTTTGTCAATGTACTAAATGCACACTGGTTATAGTGTTAAAAATGAAAAGCGGAATACGAAGTAAAAAACGAAGGTGTAACAAATAAAAATTGAGTGCATGAAAAACTAAAGAAAGTGTTTAAAGATGAGAAACGACCAAAATTATTAAAAAGTCGAAATAATAACTATAAGCGACGCGCAGACCAGTGGTAAAGCAACAGTTACGACGCTGCGCACTATAAGCGACGCGCAGACCAGCAGTAAAGCAACGGTTACGACGCTGCGCACTATAAGCGACGCGCAGACCAGCAGTAAAGCAACGGTTACGACGCTGCGCACTATAAGCGACGCGCAGACCAGCAGTAAAGCAACGGTTACGACGCTGCGCACTATAAGCGACGCGCAGACCAGCAGTAAAGCAACGGTTACGACGCTGCGCACTATAAGCGACGCGCAGACCAGCAGTAAAGCAACGGTTACGACGCTGCGCACTATAAGCGACGCGCAGACCAGCAGTAAAGCAACGGTTACGACGCTGCGCACTATAAGCGACGCGCAGACCAGCAGTAAAGCAACGGTTACGACGCTGCGCACTATAAGCGACGCGCAGATCAACAGTAAAGTAACGGTTACGACGCTGCGCACTATAAGCGACGCGCAGACCAACAGTAAAGCAACAGTTACGACGCTGCGCACTATAAGCGACGCGCAGACCAACAGTAAAGCAACGGTTATATCGCTGAAAAGCAGAGGTGACGAGCAAGTGGCATCAGCAACGAGTACAGTCAACAACCGATAGTGGTGGCAGCGGTGGAATAGCCGATAGCAGTAACTGCAGATTAGTATCACTTATTTTAAATTATTTAAGTTTTGATTAATTGTTTAGATGGAATGAGAAATGCTAATTTGAATTTGTAAAAGTATATACCTAAAAGATACGGTTGTTCGGATATAAAATTGAAGTGTAAATCGCCGATTTATAACAATTGTAAGATGGACGCTGAGACGATTAGGGCAATGACGGTAGAGACGCTGAAAGAAAAGTTAAGAGAGCTAGGGTTGAACGTTACAGGCAGAAAAAAAGAGTTGCAATTGCGCCTGCTACAACATTTAGTTTTTGGGGACGAGCAAGCTGAGGACGAAAGCGAGAATGAATCGACAAATTCATCTTACGCGGACGCCGTAGCTGCTTCATCTAATGCGCAAAAGATGTTGTTTACACTAGGCGACGTTCAAGACAGCGTTTTTTATGGAAATGATACTTGTGACGTTCACCACTGGGTTGTAGAATTTGACGAGATAGCTGACACGGTAGGGTGGAATAATCTACAACGGTTTGTATATGCGAAGCAGTTGCTCAAGGGGGCAGCGAAATGGTTTGTGCGTGGGTTGGTGGGTGTAAGAGACTGGAGTAGTTTGAAGCGCTCTCTTGATGAGTTTGGGGAAAAAATATGTGCGTCCGAAGTGCATCGGGTATTAAGAAATAAACGTAAACAAACAAAAGAAAGTTTACAAGAATATTTATACTCAATCATCGAAATCGGTAAGCCAATATCGCTCGATGAAAAGAGTATAATAGAATATTTTGTAGATGGTATACCTGACGCTAAAACAAACAAGGGAATTTTATATCAAGCAAAGACAGTGGGCGAATTGAAGGAACAAATTCGCATATACGAGAAAGTTAGGGGTGTACAAATTGCTGCAACCAAAGGATACGGGGGACAGATTGCGACCGAAAGTAAAGGGTTGATGAAAAAGAAGTGTTTTAAATGTGACAAAGAAGGTCATATAGCGAGGGACTGTCCGGAAGCCGGATCGAGTAAGATTATTTGTTTTAAGTGTAATAAAAAGGGGCATTTTGCGCAGCAGTGTAAAGATCAGAGAGACCGAATGATTAAAAGTGAGCGGGTAAATACGGTTGATAGCAAAGTGGAAACGTCTGCCAGTAAAGGTGAAATGATTTTCGTTGATGCCACTATCAATGGCTTTACCTTTAATGCATTAGTAGATATAGGATGCATTGCGTGTATCATGAGGTATGATACCCTATTGATGTTAGGAGAGATAGATCTAACTGGGAAAAAACAGAGATTGTTTGGTATTGGCAAAGGCGTGCTTACGACATTAGGCAGCTTTACGGCCGAAATGACAGTAGAGGGACTGTCATGGAACGTAACATTTCACGTGGTTAGGGAACGTGATATTCCGTATGCAGCAATGATCGGAAATGACGTACTTCAGGAGGTTGAGTTAGTTTTTAGGAAAGGTAGTGTTGAGTTCAGAAAACCTATGAAGGCTGGGATAGCAGCGAGGCACACCGGAGCTGGGATGGCTTCTGAGGGTGTGTATGGTGGTGTTGAAGGGGTTGTGTCAACTCACCGTGAGTTAAGAGACTACGGGGATAGTCAGGGTAAGGTTTTCAGGGAACAAAAGGACATTACTAAATCCGTAGTAGAAACAGGACCTGAAGTCATGGGTGACAAAAGGTTAATTGAAGAGTTTGAAGTACTGTGTTCAATTGAAACTGGAATATGCGAGGAGACAGATCGAGTGGATCTATCGCATCTGTCAGCGCACGATGCTAAAGTAGTAAGCGGTTGGATTCATAGTTACTGCCCTAAGAAGCCTAGTCATAGGCCAGTAGAGATGAAGTTAATATTGAAAAACGAAAAACCGGTATTTCAGCGACCACGTAGGGTGTCGCAGGCGGATCAGCAACGTATTGACGAAGAGGTCGCACGGATGCTTAAGGAGGGTATTATACAGAATAGTGTGTCGGAATACGCATCGCCAGTTGTGTTAGTTACAAAGAAAAACGGAACAAAACGGTTTTGTTGTGATTTTCGTAAAATTAACGAACAAATAATAAGAGACAATTTTCCAATGACAGTCGTGGAGGAAGCGTTAGACAGATTGCAGGGTGCAAATGTCTTCACTACATTGGATTTGAAGAACGGATTTTATCATGTGCCAATAGAACCGGGTTCCCGAAACTACACGTCTTTCGTAACCCAAAACGGCCAATATGAGTTTTGCTTTGTGCCTTTTGGCATCAATAATTCACCGGCGGTATTTTGTCGCTACATACGAGCGATATTCCAGGACATGCTTGCGGATGGAACCGTTATAATATACATGGACGATATCGTCATTCCCGCCAAGGATGAGATAGAAGGTCGAGAGAAATTAGGAAAAGTGCTAAAGCATGCATGTTCACCACTGGGCGTTGGTGAACGCGCCCACTTTGAAACTTTTCGATCCAAATGCAGAAACAGAAGTACATTCGGATGCGTCAAAATTCGGGTATGGCGCAGTGTTATTGCAAATGGACCCAGAAGACAATCTATTGCACCCCATTGAATATATGAGTCGTAAAACATTGAGGACAGAAGAAAAGTACAGTGCGTTTGAACTTGAGGTTCTGGCAGCTATGAAAGCCCTTAAAAAATGGCGGATGTACTTAAAAGATATTAGGTTCAAAATAGTAAGCGATTGTAACGCTTTCACTATGACGGTCAAGAAACAAGACGTACCTGACAGAATTATGAGGTGGGCAATGTACCTGCAAGAATACAATTATGTAGTTGAACATAGGTCAGGAACTCGCATGAGACACGTAGATGCTCTTAGTCGCGCATACTGTTTGTTAGTAGAAAACTCGTTAAAGTATAGGATAAGGGATGCGCAAATGCAGGATAACTGGATAAGAGCGGTAAGGAAAGTTATGGAAGTAGGACCATACGAGAAGTTTTTTTTGAGGAATGAGTTACTGTACAGTGACCCTGTTAAGGAATTGTTAGTAGTACCGGCCAGTATGGAAGACGAAATTATTAAGCTAGCACATAGCCAGGGTCATTTTGCAGCAAAAAAGACACAGGAACTGGTGGAAAGAAATTATTACATACCAAACTTGAACAAAAAGGTGCAAAATGTAGTAAGTTCATGTGTGGAGTGCATAATTGTAGATTCGAAGAGGGGTAAGAAAGAGGGCTTGTTGACGCCAATCGACAAAACCTGTAAATCATTAGGGACTTACCATATCGACCATGTGGGTCCTTTAACTGAAACATGTAAAAGGTATAACCATATTTTAGTTATTATAGACGCGTTTTCGAAGTTCGTTTGGCTGTACCCAACGAAATCAACCGGGGTGGGAGAGGTAATTGATAAATTAGAGAAACAATCGACAGTTTTCGGCAACCCGAAAAGAATCGTAACGGATAGAGGGGCGGCTTTCACATCAAACGTTTTCAACGAGTACTGCACCAAAGAGGGAATACAACACCTGTTGATTGCAACCAGTGTCCCACGAGGTAATGGACAGGTGGAACGCGTTCATAGGACCGTGGTTCCAATGCTATCTAATAAATGTCAAAGTAACCCGACTCAGTGGTATAACCACGTCGCAAAAGTACAACTGATTTTAAACAACACTGCACCTCGCAGCACCAAAATGACACCCTTTAGAATTCTCACAGGATTGAACATGCGTGTGACAGACTACCCAGATTTACAAGAAATTATAAGAGACCTTGAAATAGAAGAGTTAAATGTAGAACGCGACTCAATACGACAAAGTGCTCACGAAAATATAGAGAAAATTCAGAAAGAAAATTGTAAGACATTTAATCGAACACGGAAACAAGGATTTGAATACAGCATAGGGGATATTGTAGCTATTAAGAAAACTCAGTTTGGAGTATCTACAAAATTGAGACCGAAGTATTTGGAACCGTACAAGATAGTCGCTAAACTAAACCATGACAGATACGAGGTCGAAAAGGTAGGGAATACGGAATGACCAAAGAAAACGTTGACAGTTGCGGAAAATATAAAGAAGTAGACTTAATTATTCGAGGTCGAATAATAGGTCATAACGGCCGATTGTACTAACAATACGGTAGCTCGACAAAGACTATTGGCACTACTGACTGAACGAAGCGTCCATCATAGGATAGTAACGGTCGATACTTATAGTTTTAAAGGAGAAGCATTGTAACCGCGAAAGCGAGCGGACGTGTGTGTTCGCTATTATATTGAATAAAATCCTACATACATACATAAATGAAGCAAGTCCTTGTATGGGAAACATTTTTATTTGGCGAGGTTTCTTCACAAAATTTGGCATGAGTTGTTTTCTAAAGCAGCAATGTAATTTCCGAAGAAATGGATCACTTTAGTATAAAGCTGCCATACAAACTGAACGATCGGAATTAAGTGCTTGAATGGAAAACTCTTTCATTTGACTTTTTGGGGGCATCCTCACGAAATTAGATCGGAATCAAAATATTGTAAGGAAACCTTTGTGTCTCTGAAGGGTATTAAAGCTTCGGTGCAACCGAAGTTAACGTGTTTTCTTGTTTCGTTGCTTTTTTCTTCCAATAAAATAAAAGCTAATATAGCGGAACTCATTGTAAGAGGAGGATTAATCTGTAATTACTCCATTTAATCTTAAAAGAAAGAAGGAACAGTCAATTTAATTTGAATATTGAAACCCTACTAAAATGGAGAAGGATTATGGTAGCAAACTGATCATGATTTTCAAAATCATTCAAATCGAGAACTAGCAAAACAGTTTAGAATCTGGGGTACTGCTTCTATAGAGAACCTTAGATAATGAGGTTTTTCGGTAATACAGTAAATACTGGCAACACTGCGCAGTTTGCCCTGCTATTTTATGCTGGCTGATACCCTTACATGAAACGGCTAAAAACTGCACATCTTCAAATATAAAATATAATAAGATTATCGATTTCTATTAGAAAGAAGGTAGAAGAGAATGAATCGTATGGAAAAAGAAATTTATTAATTGCGAATTGCTTGTAAGTCAAACGAATTATTCCAAAAGTTATAGCTTTAGTGTGAGTGAGACAATTAATCTCTTTCAACTATATCCTATAAAATTTGATTATATTTGAATAATTGGGGACCCAATTTATTGGAAAACTTCTCAATATATTTCAAATGTTCTATTCCACTCACTATCGCACTGAATATGTTAGGGAAAATCTCCAAGTATTTATATTATTATTTATATGTATTTTCACATAATTACAATATAATATTATTCAGTAACACAATTATTATAAACTTGATGTCGAAAAATATCCGGGATTGCTTTTACGAAACGATGTGACGTGTCGGTCCAATCGCCGGTGTATCTGGAAACGCTGCCGGTGTATCGGATGCCTGCTCTAGTTAGACGCGTGCGGTGGAATGCTGTATCGAATGATGTTGATGTGGCGCTCAGGCCCGTAGACGATAAGAGAAAGAAGTGGTATGTTGTGTTGTCCTGTGTGGTGTCATCTGGTGTGGGGTGAAATTCCTTGAGTGTTCACAGGTGTGGTGTGTTTCACTAGGGTGTGTCAGTTTTTCCCGAGTAGAGTGGTGCACTTGAAGGAGGGAGTTTAAACTCATTTAAACAATATTTAATATAAATATCTTACATTGACATTTTAACTACCAGTTGGTTTTGTCATAATTTTTTGTGCAACTACTTCTCAAATATTGCAAGTTTTGTCCTAAGATGCCAGGTTTGCTTTTTCGAACTGGTTGCATCATGCATAAGGCACAGTTTGCATTGCCGAAAACGCCCAATGTCTTGTTATACTTGCTTCAAACCAATTTACACCAGAGAATATTAGGAGTTATTTCCGAATAAATTTGAGTAGATTGTATCGACTCGTTATGTTCGAAACACTTGCCACAATCCATAATTCTATTTTTACTGTTGCTCCACTTCGTGAATAATATAATATAAAATTATATATAACTTAGTTTATTTACCCTTTTCCATATTCTATTATTATTTGTCCTAGATAAACGCAGTAATGTTCAACTCGTTCCGCAACTGCTTTGTAGCAGTTGTAGTTTTTTGATGTTCTAGTCAACCCCACGGAACAGAGGTGAAATCCGTAATACCACGAAAGAGTTGATGTTTGACAACTACAACTTTGACAACTACAACTTTGACAGATTAACTTGATACTGATAATACCGAATTTCAAAACTTCAACCAAAATGCAGTTGAGCTGAAACCCATTATAGGGGCTATAAAAATAGACAGTAGACATCCTGTACAGACAGTCAATCACTACCTTTAACTCTCTTTCTGGAAAAAATTTTCTTGGGGCTCAAAGTATTAATCGCAATAGTTATTCTTTCCTATGAATTTATTGAGAAATAACTTCTACTTAAAATAATTTTATGAAAGTAATATTAATCCCGCTGAATTACGTCGTTCAGCCATACACATTTGTTTCAATTTACATAGCTGAAAAGTACAAACTATAACAAAATTGATTTGGACTTCCACAACTCTACAATATTAAAAATGTAATTAGGGTGCAAGAATTACAGATGTGCTTACATCAATAGATCTTGTTCAGCGACTGAGTTAATGTGATCCAATAAGAAACAGATTTCATTAAGCTTTACTACGTTTTCAAGAGGTACAAGTTTCACCGTTGATGAGCGTGAATGAGCCTTAAGTTTAGCGGCAAAAAAAGTGTGGTTTCATAATCTATGTTTGTCATTAAGGATTTCTAAATATATTTACAAAACTAATATATTTGGAAAATTCTAAAGAATTATTATATGTTTTCGCTATTTTTCTGAAATATATATTTCTACATAATGGTTGACAAGATGACACCATGAGCCTTCCTCCATACAGCTTTGGTAAAAAGCGCCCGACAAAATTTTTAATCGCACCGTGTGTGCACCTATTGGGCGATGACCAGTCAGAACACCTACAATTGTGGTACTTTGCTAAGAGCAAGTAGTTGGGAGAATCTCTTATGGGTCGCTCTGTGCAAAAAGAGCTCGCAGTCGCAGATCTACATAATATTTGGATCGATCCCGGGTGATATCAGTAGATATGCATTTTGCAAAATTCCCATGTTTAAACAGTTTGGAAACTAATCTCTTATTTTTGTAATTTCGACTTAATGTTTATTTCAGTGGTAATCAAAAGGTGTTATGTAAGTGATCGAAAAGTGCACACTGTCGAAGAAATTCTTATTCAACTTAAATTTAGTAAATGGTAAATTTTCTATCGTTGATTTCATGATTTTATAACTGAGGAAGCACATAACATAGGATTCTAGTCCGAGCAGCGCATGAACAAAGACATAAAACATCCGAATTCACCAAAATTAAATTTACCAAAAACTTTCACTAAATTTACCGATAGAATGCTGTAAATAACTATCTGTAATTAAATCAAAAGGGAACATTGTTCGAAAATGGGGTCTGGAATAGCATTATCCAATTGGGAAAAGCAAATGTTTGTCTAAATTTTTATTAAAAACAGTTTATAAATAACATTACTATTTGAAAACAGAAATTAAATAAGTGTACATGATGTAGTAGAAAGTGTTATAAAAGCAATATTACAATAACTGTGGTAGAATTAGATCTTAAAATAGATTTTTACAACTGATACCATTTTTTATCTTTATATTTAAGCATTAATTGATGTGCTGTTCCACTGAAGTCTTGAGCTGTGTTGGCCATGCGTTCCGCCCTCTCCTCCAGTAAGTTCAGCTTCTCGCCTCTTTCCATTGCCAACTGATGCGCTCTACTTATCTCAGAGGCTGCAGTAGAAGCTCGCTGTCCTAATTGATCCAAATTTGGACCAGGTATATGTTTGGCAACTGATCTATTTGCTTTCCCACTTTGTTCGCCAACTAAAATTATACCATTAAAATTAAAAGGAACACAAGTATGGATTAAGCTAAAAATTATAATATAACATTTTGCTGAATTAATTAGACTACACTTACAAAGTTCTTCTCTATCCAAACTTTTCGCTCCTCCTCCAAATAAGCCTTTAAAAAAGCTCTCCTTCGGTTGCTCAGGCATTTCATGCGACGTGTATAATTCACCCATCATCTCCAAAATAAATTGACTACAATTATAAACAACTATAAAAAATTTGATAATGAAAAAAATATATATTATTAGATTGTACCAGAATTCTGATGATATTGTGAATTTCTGAATTTCGGTGGGTGTTGCCATGTACAATCCATGCCCTTTGTGACTAAAGCAAAATATCTTTGAAATTCTGTAATTAAAAAATATGATTACAAAATATATGAGGATATTAGCGTCATAAGAAGTTTTGCTCCACCACACCGTGACAAAATTTATCTATCAAAAAAACATTAAATTTTTAAATTACAGAGGGAAAAAAAAATTATTTTATTACACAAAATAAATTAGTTTGTAACACCAAGAAGGAAATGTCGGAGACATTTGTAAATGATCAGCATGACGAGCTGAGTCGATTTAGCCATTTCTGTCATATATAATATATGCAATACGGGAACTAGTCCCTCAGTTTTAGAAATATCGATCTGAAATTTTTCACACATTCTTTTCTCTCCTCAAGAAGCTGCTCATTTGTCGGAACTGCCGATATCGGACTACTATAGCGTATAGCTGCCATACAAACTGAGCGATCAAAAGCATGCCTTGTATGGAAAACCAGTATGTTTTAACTGATATATTATAATATGAGTGATATAATATGTTTGATTTGTTACACAAATAATTTGGCATTTGATAACACTTCTTGTATTTCTATTTTGAATCGTAAATTATCAGGCCTTTGGGCTTCCCCTTGAATTTTCTATAAAGATAAATACAATATTCGGGTCTGAGAATATAACAACATTCACAAAACTATTAGGATGTGTTATCCAAATAAGAAAAATGTATATTTCACGTTTAAATAAAAATTAGTTTTTCCGTTACTTACTGAGTTGTGTCTTCGTGTACAATGATTTGCTGACCCCAAATAGACAGCATTGGATCCACAATTCCTTGCTTGCACTTTGTTTGAAAACTAGACATAACATGACAAAGATGTGATTGTAATTAAATAAATTTTAATATAAGTTTTTTTACAGATATTACTTTCTGATAACATAAATGTTATAATAACATAAATTGTATTTCATTTTAAATTATTTTCCTGATTATTGGGTTTGTGAGAATAACATAGATTATTAGTAATATTATATTATTACTAACTATTTACACATGTATATACCTTAATTCCATCAAGGGTAAAAAATCGGTATCCATTAGTAATCTTAGACTAGGAAGACTATGAACCATCAAATGTCCATTGGATAGATACGTCGCTAAGCAAGAACCATCTGGAAAAATATATTAAATTGTAAATGATAATTTCAAAAATATTTAATGTAATTTTGAATATTTAATTAAGTTAAAATATTGTAGATCACTTTTCAAAACGAATATTCAAATAATACCAGTAATTTAAGCTTTTCAATTACCTTTCATTGAAATAGTTTCCGCTTTGACTGCAAAATCCATTTCTGATAAATTAATGCGATAAATACAACTTTGATTTGCAATATCGAAGACTTTTGTTTGCTTTTCACTTGTGATTACTATATATTGTCTATCTGTTAAAGAATCTAGCCCAGTGCTAAGGCTTCCACTTATTCCGCTACTGCTGGCATTACTGCTGCTGCTATAAACATTTCCACCCGGAGTATTTGATATTGTGTTGGCAGTTGTTGGTGTAAAAGTTGGGCTCGTTTTATTACTACTTTTTGTTGGGGTGCCTTAAAAATATGTGAATAAATTTGAATAAGTATATATTTATGTATTTTATCATAGTATTATAAATATCATACGACGAAATATCAAACGAACGTTTGGTTGCGTTTCGTTCGTGCTGTGCACAGCCGGACCATAATGAAGACTAAACCAATTTGAATAAAGGTTTTGAGTTGTTCGTGTAAAATTCGAACGGTTTAAACTAAAAAGAGTGCAAAAATCGTTACCACACGTGAAAATAAAATGTGTGAATACAAAAAGTACAAATTTCTACATTTTTGAAGTAGGGTAAACATAAGTAAGTAATCGGTTTTATTGCAATGTCTTATTCTTTATACCATAATAGTTCACGAATTTTTTTTATTTTATACATTAATTATTAAGCCCGTACTACTAGAACTAATACTTACGGTCCTTTTTTCCATCATCACGCCAAGCTTCAAATGAATAAGGAATTAAAGAACCAAATGAGTCTAAAAATGACATTGATGTAATTGAACCCTTTAATCGCACCAGCGGGCCTCCTTCAAGAAATGTAATACGATATCAACTCACAAAAGTTATATTAAATGTACAAGGCTAACTTACCATTAATTGTCACTAACACAGGTTGTGTTTTTCGTGACTCTCTCTCAGGTAGAGATATCAGAAGAGTTAAAATAGAACCGAAACTAGTTCCGATCCAAAGTGTAGGAACGAGTGTTAAATTATCTGTTAAATTAAAAATTATATTTATTTCTATAAACCCTAAAAAAAGTACTGAAAAAGTATATATAACAGCTATATACATATAAACAAAACAACACAGTTAAAATAAGTGTCAAACTTGATGACACAATGGCACATAATAATGGAACTGCACAAATAGAATACATTTTTAGTAAACATAGGTATTTAAAGTGTTGCCCTTAAATATTATTCCACATGCCTTAAAGTGTTCAAAAACGGTTCAAGATGTAGAACGCATTTTGAAAAAGTTGGGAAATTGTATTCATTTGAATTGTTTACATTAGTTCATCTTCTTATTGGCTTAACGTAACACAAATATTAAATCTTAACTTTTCTTTAAAATTTCTATGAACATATTGATCTTGACGTTCGGGATATAAGTGTAAGTGTAAATATATTAAAGTAAGAAACATTACATACCACTTTTCTTTCCATAACTTTCAATAAAAGCTAAACTTGTAACAGATTCAGAGGAAGACATATCAATGCTCGACATAGATGATGATCTGGATCTTGAAAAGGAGCCGTCCAATTTATCTGCGAAACATAAATTGACGTTAACAATTTCCTTACATACAATGTAAAATGTTAAGTAATATTTTGCTTATAAATATTGGTGTGAAAATATCGTTGCTCTAACAATAATAAAAAGTTGTTAATACATAGTACATAGCACACTAATTGTAGCAATAATCTTTGTTTTTTTTTTAAATCTACATAATTGGTTAAAATTTAGAATTATTTTCAACTATAGCTTAAAAAATCGAAATTTTGTTAGAATCATAACAAAATTTATTTTAAACAATATTTTTTGTTCGATCAGAGCTGACCATATTGTAAGAATAAATTTAAACATATTAGGTAAAGTAAAAAGTTCGTTCGGTTTTTATCTAAGAGATGGCGTTATTGTCTATAGTACTAGTGTTACGTGTCGCATCATGTCATACTATACGGCGCTGAAAACGTGTTTATTCGCGCAAAAAGTTTGTCTTCGACAGGTTTCGATTGATTGACTCAGTACGTTGTGAGCGCTCGTCAAAGATGGACACCAGCAAAGAGAAAATAGTTTATGGGCCCGATACTGTAAACGAACGTGTAGCACAAAAGTGGTTTGCTGGGTTCCGTTCCGGTAATTTCGATGTCAAAGATGCACCACGCGTCGGGAGGCCTGTCGTCGAAAATTGCGATAAAATCATGAAAATAGTGGAAACAGACCGTCACGTGAGCACTTATATAATTGCTGAGGAACTAAAGATAAGCCAGAAAAGTCCATGATGGACCGAATTTCCATCTGCGAATCGCTGCTGAATTGCAACAAAATCGACCCGTTTCAGAAGCGGATTGTGACTGACGATGAAAAATGGGTCACTTACGACAATATTGAGCGCAAACGGTCGTGGTCAAAGCTCGGGGAAGACCGAGCTCTCAAGACCTGATTGACGGCCAGGAAGGTTTTGCTGTGTGTTTGGTGGGATTGGCAAGGAATCATCTACTTCGAGCTGCTCCCCTATGGCCAAACGCTCAATTCGGCCCTCTACTGCCAACAAATGAACCGCTTGAAGGCAGCACTCATCCAAAAGAGGCCATCTTTGATCAACAGAAGCCGAATTGTGTTCCATCAGGACAACGCCAGGTCACACACGTTTTTGGTGACGCGCCAGAAGTTCCGGGAGCTCGGATGGGAGGTCCTAATGAACCCACCTTATAGTTTGGCCTTGGCACCAAGTGATTACCATCTTTTCCTGTCCATGGCGAACGCGCTTAATGGCGAGAAGTTAGCCTCAAGAGAGGCCTGTGAAAATTGGGTCTCCGAGTTTTTTGCCAATAGGGACGCAGCCTTCTACGGGAGGGGTATAATGAAGTTGGAATCTCGTTGGCAACAAGTTTATGAATAAAACGGCACATATTTGGCTTAAATCGGACAAATGCACACAAAGTTATCATCTTTTGAAAAATCAATAAAAAACCGAACGAACTTTTTACTTTACCTAATATTAAGAATCTGTAATGTTCCTAATATGTATTATATTATACAAATAAAATATCTGTAACGAAATTTGTGGAAATTGACGAGGGATGGTATCCTTATCGCTATTCAAATGTCCGAAGTTGTATTCCATATAAACTGATACATAGGTATTTACCAAAAAGCTATATTGATAACATAATTTCCAGGGTGAGTTTCTGCGCCGATTCCTGACAATGGATGAGGCATAAAATCATCAGTATTCAACTAAATCTAATCGAGAGTCGACCGATAATGTTTTAGCCATATTTTTTTGGGAACACATGGAATTATATGCATCGAACGTTGATACACCAAATAATAAACAGCATTACTGTGAGTTATTGAATCGATTATACTTTAAAAGCAAAATTTGTTAAACCAAAGATTTTTTTCAACCCTTGTAGTATGTTAAGTATCGAAATCTAAAGTTTTCAGCTAAGAAAATAAATAACAAAGACTGCTGTTTTCTTAATATTGAGCAACGGATCACATTTAATAAGGATAAAGATTATAAAGAGAATACCGAAATAAATTTATAAACACAAAAGAATACAAACATTTTTAACAGATTTTAACCTTTTAAGTAAATTTGAAACTATTTAATTTAACTTCACAAACACCAAAACATCTTTCGCCTTCCACGTCAATATGAAGGCTAAAATTATTGTAACGATAAATTCGACAAAATTTACATTTAAATAAAGTCAGAGGCATTAAATATATCAACTTTATGCGAATAAACATTGTAATTGAGGTAGTCAAAAGCCTTTGAAAGTACAATTTATAAAGTTTTATGTAGACTATTTTAAAACATATTATTACAATGGAAATATTATTTATAAAACGAGACTAAAACTGGAGTGAGGTGGGCTTGAAGTATTCCTGATAAAGTATCAATGGCACCATAAAAGGTTAAATCTTACGCTGTGAGATCTTTCATGCAAGAAGTGATCCACTATAGAATGGAGCTTAAAAACGAAGTAGGTATGTCTACTAAGCGTCAACGGATTCATAACAAATGATTCGAATAATTAAAGAATAGATAAAAGTCTCTGCCTCCAAGGGAAAAATTAAATGAGGGCATTAAAAGAATAAAATGATCAGGATTTTGCTGAATATAATCATAATAACTGGATTTAAATAACTTCACAGATAAAATAATGATTTCAAAAATCCATTTTTTCTTTGGACACAAATTTATTGTGTTTGAGTTAGAGTATTGTGGATTTTTTCGCAATTTAGAAAATATTTAAAACTTCATAAAGCATTCACATTTTATCATCTTTCAAACACTTTTTCTTTTAATTGTAATTGGTTGCCTTGTTAATACTTAGTATTATATATGCTCACATTTTTATATAGGTGGTTGTGGTTACAGCAAAAATATTTTCAAATTAAAACCTACTGTAATATTTTTTTTTCTAAATTGAAGTTTTCCCTGCATCTATTTATACTCTCGCAATATGTTGCAGAGTATAATAGTTTTTTCATCTAACAGTTGTTTGCAACACCTAAAACTAACCGAAACATATGTATATACAAAAATAATCAAGATGAAGAGACAAGTTAAGTTCCAGATATCAGTATGTGCGTCCATTCATTCATCCGTGTCAGTGATAACTTGATTAAAAGTTGATATATCTTGATGAATTGGTATACGTGTTCCTCTGTATTCTGAGGAGGATGGTAATGCAAGTGGTCGAAATCGAATACCACTCCCATAAAATTCCTTCTTGTAATACTAAAGCTACTAAACTACTAAAGCGTGCAATCAGATGAGAGCCACATAGCTTCATACGAAGGTTATATTGAAAAGAACTGGAATTTCACAGTATTTCATGTGAATCGATCAAAGAAATTTACAATAGATTGGTAAGTGAAACTCTATTTTCCAGCAACTACTCGCCACATTCATCATAATTAGAGGTAGTCACAATTTAAATTTTTTATTATAATATCTTAGAAATATTTTCTGAAAATTTGAAATAAATCCGACAAATACTTTTCGAGTTATTTGATAATTAACAAAGAGTTCTCGGGTGCTCTGGAACGTTTGCGAGCAGGAGGCTAGCAGCAGACGCAAATTTACGTAAATTGAGTGTAAAACTACAAATGCATTTTTCTCAAAACTATATTTTTGAACTGATAACAACTGTAGCTTGAAAACCGCTAGGTAGGTTGCAATGAAATTTATACAGCTTTAGAAAACTAGAGCTTAATCGAAGACTTTTTTCGAATTCTAGTATATTTTTATTATTATTGTCATCTAATAATTTCGTTGAATAATGAATTTTGAATTCTAACAAATATGTTTATAAAGTTTTGCCAACACCTGAAAATTTTCGCCTTTGAACCTTGCAAATTGCGAGAGTATAAATTGTTAGGTATACTCGAAGTTGAATCCTCCTTACTGGTTTTTCCTTAGATTTATACGAATATGACCATTGACATTATTCTCCTTATGATAATTATTGCGCCCTAATTTGAAACTCTTAATTTGAACGACCAAGAGTTCCAGAGCCTTTCAATATCATGTTTAACATTTAAAACTTTGAGGATATTCAACTGAATTTCAAAACGAATATATACATATGTATACATGTTACATGACACAGAGTAATTAGCAAAATGAATTAAAGATGAGTTAAATGCGGTGGCATAAATAGTTTCTTAAGTGTAATAAAATATCCTTGAATTTGTTTGTATCTCCAGAACCTCGATTTATTTAGATTTATGATTTGTGAATGGTAAAAGGCAATTAAAGATGTCCCACCTTGCGATCTTGACTTTCTTAAAGTTTCAAATTGAATTGATACTTGTTGCTGAACAGGTTGCTGAAGTGATGGTTGTGCAGAGGCTCCAACTTCGCTGCAACCCTGTGTAGCAGCTGCTTCAGTATTTTCAGCAGGTAATGATGATGGTATTTGTTCTTGAATAGATGATTTGGAAGCGACAGTATTGCCAATCCCATCACCAAAACATGTGCCATCAATATTACTGATTGGTCCCGCTTCAGAGGCATCGTTAGCACGGCGTTCACTTGAACTACCTGAAACAACAAATTTGCTACCATAACTCGATGGACACGATGCCGAAGTTCCGGCTACAGATGCAGCTGCTCCGTTTATCTGGGGTAAATATGAAGGTAACAATAAATGGATATGACAATGGGCTGGCCTTTATTTAAGATACATTTTGAATTGATGCAAAACATAAAATAAAAAAATGTAATATACTCGTAACGAATTAATATCATATAAATAATTATAAAAAATAAACATATGTAAAAGAGAACAAACCCTACAGTTATTTCGACCGCACAACCTGACAGTTAAAACTAATGAACATTTTACTATCTTGATAAAAAACTTTTGATATTAATATTTTTCTAAATAACAAAATTAAGTATACTAATTCAAATTTAAAATTTTTTAGGTATATTTAATCAAGACATTCCACAAATACTGAGCGTGAAAATCTTAATTTTGTCACTTCGAAGACAGAATGTCAAAGCCTAAATAAAAAATTC